AACATCAAAAGATCCGATTTTGCCACACTCCAGTGAAAAGTTGGTAAATAATGAGAATTCAGCCCGCTAGTTTGATTTTTGATCATAAAACTCTTGACTTTAGGTAAATCCTTAACCCTTTTTTCTTTTCGGAATAATCCCGTGTACCCTAAACGTTTTAAGACCTCCAATAAGGATGTTCGTTCCCAAGAAATAACAAAACCATTTATAACAGAGTTCATAGGAATAACATTGAAGTGTAGTTCATGTTAGTCATGTTACGTGCATATCTTAACATCACCGGTTAATGTTAGTCATTTGATGTGTATATCTTAACATCACCGGTTCATGTTAGTCATGTTATGTGTATATCTTAACATCACCGGTTCATGTTAGTCATGTTATGTGTATATCTTAACATCACCGGTTAATGTTAGTCATCTGATGTGCATATCTTAACATCACCGGTTCATGTTAGTCATCTGATGTGCATATCTTAACATCACCGGTTCATGTTAGTCATCTGATGTACATATCTTAACATCACCGGTTAATGTTAGTCATTAGTCACCTGAAGGTCCTTTCCTTGTGCAAAACTTTCATAATGGTGAATATGAGATTAAAGTGTAAGTACTGATAATTCAAGTTAATTAGAAGTGTTCTCAACAATGATTCGAATAATAAACTAGAAGTGTTTTCAACAATGATTCGATACCAAACTAGAAGTGTTCTCAGCAATGATTCGATACCAAACTAGAAGTGTTCTCAACAATGATTCGATACCAAACTAGAAGTGTTCTCAACAATGATTCGATACCAAACTAGAAGTGTTCTCAACAATGATTCGCTACCAAACCAGAAGTGTTCTCAACAATGATTCGATACCAAACTATAATTGATTTTAACAATGATTTGATACCAAACTATAATTGATCTCAACAATGATTTGATACCAAACTATAATTGATCTCAACAATGATTTGATACCGAACAGACGCAGCCTGGACAGATCCAGCTGAAAAACGTACATTCATACATCGTTTAGCAACAAACATACCAAAGATAACGTTTTGAGAATCCTGCGAGATGATTAAGTAATGAAACTGACAATACCACTTAACTACATACACAACAATACTGATGATAATATAAACATGTCCTTAAAACACAGTGTAGTAAGTTGTGTTGTGAACTGGGGAACGAAGATACACAACAATGTTGATGGTAATATAAACATGTCCTTAAAACACAGTGTAGTAAGTTGTGTTGTGAACTGGGGAACGAAGATACACAACAATACTGATGATAATATAAACATGTCCTTAAAACACAGTGTAGTAAGTTGTGTTGTGAACTGGGGAACGAAGATACACAACAATACTGATGATAATATAAACATGTCCTTAAAACACAGTGTAGTAACTTGTGTTGTGAACTGGGGAACGAAGACAATCGAAGTTATAAAACAATGTGTTTGGTTGCAACATGTATCCCATACATCAATAGTCTTAACATGCGTAATATGTGCAGTAATAAGATATGTCTGTTTTTATATCAAGATTACAAAAAATATTTGGGAAAGACTACACCTCTCACTGTGTGATTTTTTAACGACAGTAATGTAGGCTCGACCTTGGAGCAAAAGTGGCAAAATGAAGGTTACAGTAGGTAGAAAAGGTTCGCTCTCAGTTGCTACCTGTTTACAGACCGCTCCTGTCTAGGTGACAGAAAGCAAGCAGGCACGAGAGTATACGTATCACAATATCCAGTATAACATCATAATACGATGACGTCACAACCACGCACCTTACTTCATACATTTATCGGTTATATCACATAATACGGCATTTTAAAGGTGTCTGAATAACATACAAGGAGGTTCTTTATTACACGCGCACACTGAGTCTTATTTTGTCGTGACGTCACAACCACGCACCTTACTTCATACATTTATCGGTTATATCACATAATACGGCATTTTAAAGGTGTCTGAATAACATACAAGGAGGTTCTTTATTACACGCGCACACTGAGTCTTATTTTGTCGTGACGTCACTTGAACGGAATGTAACCGGATCAGGGATTTCCTGTGAAAATTAAACTAGCTTTGTGAGGAATAAGTTAAAAACAGGAACCAGAATCAAGAATCTGTGTTCCTTAAATAAACAGGAGCCTGTATATCCATATCCCATTACAAGGGAGTCTGTACACCCACTTAATTCAAGCTGATATTATTTCCATAAACAGGAGCCTGTATATCCATATCCCATTACAAGGG